TGTTAATGCTGTTGCTATTATCATGCATTTCTTATTCCATGGCTGTTTGGATTTGATAAATTATTATATCAACACATAGTCTCTTCCTTTGTTCGTCTCTCACTGGAGCAGAGGCAGGGGGAAAGGAAACAGATTATTTGGAGTTTAATTCTCACCTGGTTTTAAACCACCACAGTAGACCAGGATGTATTACAGAAATGCAGCAGCTGTACTCTGCATTTCCAGAAGAGATGTTATATCTGAAGAAAACCATCACAATCCACAAGATGTATTTTCTCTCAACAACCTCATTCTACTTTGTTGGTTTTTTTTTTTGGATAAATTTTATACTTTTCTGCAGGCTTAACAACTCACTTAAGAATAGATATTCACAATTTAGGTTGTATTTATTATAGTAGCATGAATTTTAAAGCCTGCTATGGAGGTTTCAGATCTGATGTCCTCTGCAGCACAAACAACTTGTGATCAAACTCAATTATGATATTTAAGTCTTCCTGTACAGGCCTTGAGGGGCCATTAGGTTATATCCATAAGTAATGGGGTGAATGAAGACATGCTGTAAACTTGGCTGGATTGGCTGTGCCTGCATGTTTGGTGAGGTGGTTTCATCTCAGCTAACCACAGCTATCTAAAAGTTCAATGACTAATGCATTTTAGCCTCTAGAGTTCCTCCAAAGTAATGAAGGGAGGGTTATTAATCCTTTCTTCAAGTAGTTCTGAAGTTTAACATTAAGCTGAGTGAGGCTGGTTAATGTGTATTTTAATAATGGAGGAGATAATGTGTAGCCACATTATGTAGGTGTTGATTCCTACAATTGCAACTACTAATTCAAATTTTTACAAAGAATTAAGGCATTAACTTTATACCAGGAAGTTTATGTCCTGACAGATATCATCCCCTCTCACCATGCCACACTTCATTTTCTTGCCAGTTATGGCATTTTTAGAGCTTCTGTAGCATAAAACCGTAATGGACTCAGCATCGTGTGCTCTGCTCACTTAACAAAAGCATTCAGCTTAATTTGAAAGACCCTTATGTTTAGTTGTATACAGTTCTGGTGTCAGCAATCACAAAACAATGCATTTAAAAAAGTGTGACATATTTCCATTAGAGAATAACTTTCCTCCATTTGCTGTAAAGGAACTCTAGAGAACTAGCTAACACTTGCCCCTTCTCTTTTCCAAAGTCAAGACAAATATGTTTGATTGCTTGCCTGCCTGGATACAATATGACCACTTTGGAATTCATTGGAAATTTTCAGAAAACATTTTAGGCATTACAGAGCACAACACAGATGATTTTCCTGAAAACCAGGAAACGGGAAGACATTTGGACTTTAAGGTTACCCATTGCTCTCTAAGTGCTGTGTGACAGCTGTGGGACAGATGCTTAGCCAGCAAGGGAGGCCAGTGAGAGCAAAATATAGACATTTCAATTTTTCCCTCTCTCTTCTCACAGATGGTTTGTTGATGATGGTAGAGAAAGAAGGAAGACACCAGCTGTTAAGTCATTGTTTTAGAAAGGGTAGAATTACAGGCTATTTAGAAGAGGGATTAAAGACAGAAGCCCACAATATCCTTGATGGTGAAGATGCTGGGATGTTGTTCAGCAGTGCTTTATTTATAACCTATCCATTTTACCCCTTTTCATCATTATCGATCTTCACATTCCATATGAATATCAGCAATGATTAGATTAGGTGATTTTTTGACTCCTACACTCTCCCAGCACCACTCTCAGTCCTGCCCCCATTTGCCTCTCAGTTCCCAATCTGTTGAATCTCATGTATTAACAATGAGATTTGTACCCTTGCTCCTGCCGGACTTCTCCCCATTTGGCCCACTTTGTACTTATTTTTGCTTCAGGCTCTTCTATTCCATGAACTGATGTATTGGAAGGTTATGTGTCAGATCAGAGAGAAAAGGCTGCAGGACTGTAAGGTACTGAGTCACGTTTAGTGGTGGTACTTTGCACCCTGAGGTGTGTGGGGTATGCCTGTGCTGCAGGGCTGCTCCCTCACATGGCCTGATGCACCAGTCTGATTCCCCATCACATTATCAACCATTATTTCTGTCTTATCCACAGACACTGACAAATACCAAGAGGTATGCATCTCCCCAGTTTTTTTTCTTTTCAACTTCACCTCTCGCTGCTTTTTTTTCTCTGCAGCTTCACGTCTGCTTCCCTTCAGCAGCCTACTGAGCTCTACCAGATTACCAAATCCCAAGCAGTTTCTTCAAACTTCAGATTTGACTCCATACAGAAATGGAACTTAAATATTGAATGTCCCCTTTTCCTGCTCCATGGTTTCCACCCAAAACCCTGGCCCTGGAGACTGGAGAGGACTGAGATATTAGGGTCCCTTGGCTGGCTGCATGCAATCTCATATGGCTCCTCAAATCCCCATCAAACTTATCTTATACATGCTCTCTCCTTTCTGAACTGCAAGAGTGAGGTGAGACCTGCAGAGAGTGTGTCTTTATCATCTTTCCCTTTAAAAATATGCCAGGAAGGAAAACAGAGAGTGGAAAACCAGTGTCCTTCTCTGGTGTTCCTGGAAAAGAGAGGCTGTAGGAAGCAGGGTAACTGTGGATGGTGTGTGTGTGTGTGCCACAGACAGCTCTGTCCTTCCATGCCAGTGATGGCTGCCCCAGGGAGGGACCAGGAAAGAATTCCAACTCTTACTGAGCAAATCCCTGGGGACCAGAATACAGGAAAATAGGCAGGACATGGTGAGGATAAGTTTCCCAGTAAAAATCTTGAAAATTTCATCACAGCCTCGAGCTTCTTGATTCACTCTGAGACTTGTTTTGTACTTATTGAAATAAAAAAAAAACAAACCCCAAAACAAAAACACAAACACCACAAAGGCTAGCAAAGTTGTGCAACTTTATTTACAAATAATGTAGCCAAAGTCTGGTTTCCCCAAACAAAACAAGGAAAAACTCCCTGCTGTTCTTCTTGTGCCTTATTTATACAGATGTACATAACCCCTGCTAACTATTTCTTCATCTGCTTCGTTTGCAATATATCCCAAGGATACTGCTTGCGTTTTATAGTTCAAAACAGAGCAATATGTGTCTGTAGGGTGGTAGCTTTCATTGCTTCTGTCTTTCTCTATGGAGAGCTTAATTTGTTCTGACTACAACAACCATAAAAAGACCATTTCTCACCGCTTCCAGTGTAAAACCATGGATCACATGAACCAACTTAGTGGTCTTTTGCACTAAAAAATTAACCATCAACTTAAGCAATTAACCATCGCTTACCCATTTTTTAAATCCACTACACTCAGTCCTGCAAGTGTAATTTCTGTTCTCCTCCCAAAACAGTTTTTAATTGGCAATATTTATACCCATATAATTTTTACTTAGCTACCATTGTATAAATTACTTCCTGTTTGTAATCTGTCCTCATAATTTCTCTCCTCTTGCCATTTTCAGAATTTAGAGATAATATTACAGTTTATGCCCTCTTTTTTTTTTTTTTTTTTGTCATCCCATAGGTAAATTGATTGAATAATTGTCTAAGGCATGGAAGAATCTTTGTAGCATCACACTGGTGATACTTGGTATATTTTAGTTAGCAATTACACATTGAAATTCTGAGTTCTAGGGTTTAGTCTCATTTATTATATGTTGTCTTGGTTGTGTTCTGGTGTAACATTTAATCAGAGTGTCATGTGGTATCAGTGCTTAACAGAAGTCTGAAAGGCATTGTTTTGTCAACATAGTTACCTTTATTAAACAAATCAAATAATCAAAATTCTTATCTCATAAAAGTGCTATGCAGTTTGTTTAACTTAACCTGTTTTGCATAAAGTCCTGTTGACTGGCAGTAATTATGTTACCATGTTATATTTCCTTATGGACAGAGTCCCATATCATCTGTTCCATTCTTTCACACGGAACCAAGGTCACGTTAATTCATCTAGAGTTACCCTGGTCATCCTGTTTATGTTGCTGAAATATCAACATGGCATTCGATTTTTCCAGGCCTCTTGGACTTCTCCGGTATGCCAAAGCTTTTTGCCAATGCAGAGCAGTACAAATTGTTTTTAAAATCTTTCAATCAAATTATGTGGACCTGCCAATTTCAAAAAATTAATAGACGTTCTTTACCATCTGCTTTAGAAAATGTCAGAATACATGATAGTTTGGCAATGCAGAAACTGCTTTTCTTTCTAAATGCAAAACAGAAATATTCAATGAGTGCTTTTCTTTTCCCCAATTAGTGATGGAACTATGTCAGCACCAAGATTTCTATTGTGCTAAATAGTCTTTCAGAAATTCAGAATAAGGACATATTCTTGTTGTCTTTATCCCTACGTTTTCATAGATCTATTTAGTTTGCATACCAATATAGTGCATTTATTAATGTATGAAATTACAACCATTACCTATAATTGTCTTTTAAATGTTTTATTAGCATGTATATACATATATATATGTGTGTATACACTGATATACTGCTGTATGCAGTAATTATAATACACATAATAATCAGCTCTGAATTCTGTGTACACATCTTTAATTAGATCATTGCTGTGTACTTCTTGGCATGTGTTTTAAGTTGAGTGAGAAATCAGTTTCACAAGTCAGAATGAAGGATAATGCAGTATTATAACATGTTTTCTTTGGGATGAGATTTCAATCTTTAAGTTTGATAGGATCTAGGTCATTGTAGGCAATGTGGAACAAGAGCTTTAGCACATGTCATTCTATTAGAAGCCCTTTTTTATAGAGGCAATGTTTCTTTCTTTATAGATATTTATTCTTGGTCACAAAAGTTACATGGGGTGGAAATCATCTCACCTTACTTGATAACACAGATATCCACATCTAAGCTAGTGATTCCCCAGGGTGACCATGCCTCTGTCCATAGAGAAAAACAGACATTTTAGAGCTCAATGAACCTGACCTATTTTAGATGCCTACATTAGGATGGTATGAATCATGCCTTATAGTGTTTATTCTTTCTCCATTCTTCCCCCCCACAGACAATAAAAGGAACCCGTGGTGGTTAGTCCTGATCCAGTTCTATTGCAGAGCAGACTTCTACATCTGAACATCCATGCAGCATTTCTCTTTTCTCGCGGATTAAAAAAAAAAAGAGAAGAAGAAAAAACTTGTTATATAATCATGAGGAAAAGAAGCAAGTGAGCCTCAAAATCTTGAAGATACAAAAATTATTTTAAACCATTAATTTTCTATACCAGCTTTGGAGTTGAACACTGAAGTGCCTCAAGGTGCAAGACCTCAGTCCCACTTATGTAAAACAACTTTTAGATTAAGTCTGTTGAACAGCTTTTAATCATGGTTACTCTTCTCTCCTATTCTATCATTTCCATCAGAGACATCATGTCTAACAGGGCAACATTGTGTGGCCTAACAAGTAGAAGGTAAGTTAATTGTAAGAGCAGAAACAAAAGGATAACAACAGAAAAAAGAGGATAGAATAAATATTCTGACTTTTTTTATTATACCTTCAGCTTTAGAGTTGTTACAAATCACCCAACTCTGACTACACAAATATTATAATAACTACAGAGATTCTCATTATTTTATATCTTTAGTGACAGCAGAATCATAGCTATTTAACAGATGACTTTATACAGACCCATGGGCACTAAAAAAAGAAATCTTCAGGCCAACACAGTTCCCTATTTTGACAAGGATATTGTGCAATTAAGGCAAGAGCTATATTTTATTCTTTTTGGCACAGAGGCCATTTCTTTGGTAATGACTACCTGTTCCTTTTTATCTTTCTCATACATGCTACATTACAGCAACTACAGCCACATGTGCCTACACTGGAGGAATACCTGTCCAATCTACACTAAAAGGAAAAGAAATCAAAGTGTAGCATATTTATGGATTCTCTGTACACAAAAAAGTGAAAAAAATTATGGAGACATGAAAAAAAAAGGTTAAATCTAACATGAATAAGAGTAGAGATAGTAGAGGAGAATGGTCCTGATCCTTTAGAAACAGCTTTTGCAGAAGACAGACAGCAGATAAATCTAAAAATGTTCTTCTTTCAGAAATAAAATTCATTCACTAATTGTGTATCCACTGAGGTAGCAGTTTTCAGGAACAGGTTTGTTCTTCCACATTCCACATTGCAAGGCAGCAAATAAAATGTGATTGTGGTGGACCCCTATAAACTTATTCATCTGCCCAAAGGGGTAGTGTGTTTCTGAAGTTCCAAAGAAAATTTTCTGCTGCTTATACTAACTGTATGTACTAAGTTATACTTTCCGAAATTATTTTCCTTACCTTGCTTGATAATATTAAAGGCTTTACAGAATTCAATAAAATCCCTCTTGTGTGATATATTAAAAAACTTCATATATCAAAATCTCCCTGCTTCTGCCCCAAGAGGTCAGGCATTTTGTTCACAAATGTGCACTCATTTCACAGCTTAATTGTGGGGTATCACTGACTCCAGTCTTTCTGATCAGATGGAGGAGTTTACCATCACTATTTTATTTACTTCTCAAATTTTCTCAGTGTTTCTGTTTACTTTGCTGTGAAAGAATCTACAAAGTTTCTTTCTACAGATAAAGTGGTTTTCATGAGGCAGATTTCTCCAATCAAGCATACAACTTTTGAGTATTATTAATGCACAATCTAAAATCTCCCCACTTCGTTGAGAATAAAGCATCCTTTGAAAGTCTCCAAAAACAGGGGAAGCATTGATATGTGGGTATGCTCAGTCCTTTGAACAGACAAAAATAATCATATTTTCTTCATTATTATTTTCTATATTTGCCCTTAATGAAAAAAATAGCATTAAATCATCTAGTATTTCCAAAAATGTAACTTTCTTGGACTTACTCATCATGTCATTCTAGTATTAGTAAGTTTCCCATAGTGATCATCTGCTATATCACAGGAAAATGCCACCTTCTGTGAGGTACAACCTGGAGTGAGAATAACCTTATCTGTCACATTAATGGTAGAATTACCTAATGACCTAAACAAAATCAACGCATTTCAAATATTTAGTCTCATCAGTAAATTCTTGTGTGTTGCCAACTCATATATGCCAACCAGGATTTTAGTTCTTGCATACAATAAGAACTCCCATTCACAATAAACCTGACCATTTTTTCTCTGTATTTCTGTCTGCAGAAATGGTTACCAAATGAGAATGGTGACTCTACAGATGAAAATGGATGAGTATATTTCACCAAGACAAGATAAACCCTTATGAAGTGTTCCTTTCTTACAGTAGTGGGATAATTTCTCCTTTTAAAGCTCTTGAATGTTAATATTCCCAAACCTTTTGAAATGTCATCACTACTGAGCCTCACCATTTCATGAATTACTTCAGTCAGTTCCCTTTTCAACTTCAGCTGTGCACCTGCGCCTAAAGGTATGAAAGTAGCCCCAGGAGCCTCTCAGTGGTCTTCAGTGCTTCTTGTCTGATGATCAATAGTCCTTTAAAAACAGAGCTCATTTCCAAAGTTGTGATGAAATGAGAGAAAATCATAGAAAATACTCCAGTATTTTCTGTACTGGAGTATTCGCAGTGAGCAAGTATGGAAAAAACCAGAAGAGTAAGGCAATAAACCATGGAATCTCCCAAGAATGCAAAGCAGCAATGTTGTAACAGCTATGTAGGCATAGCAATCCCATGTGTGTGGACATGACTATTCCAAATACAAATTGCATCACCAAAGATAATGAAACACCCTGGACATACTGCTCCCTGTTTCAGAGACTTGTCATAGACACATAGATGTCCACAGCAAATTTCAGTTGCATGCAGAATTTAGGTCTCTTTTATAAGCTTTGTGCTACATGGAGAGAACTGCTGAAATGTTACTTTTGAAGTAACATGAGAAATGATAACAAAGACTAGTTATTTGCTGCTAAAAAATCCAGTATTTTTCCACTAAAATCACTTGGATATATATGATATGCCAAACTGGAAACACAGCCAAGGACTGGATACTTCACCATAAGTTTAGTTTAGCAAGATCTGCCCTGTCTTCTTAGGCTGGGTCTGACCTTGGAAAATTCCCCTCAGTCCAAAATTAAAGCACCTTATCTTGGCTATGTTCTTATGACAGGAGAGCTGGCACACGTTGGTTTCTCTAAGGCTAAAAAAAAGGTACTTAATATTTTCAGCAGTAAAGTCCAAATCAATAGAGTGTGTTCCTCTTCCATGTGTGCCTCTGCAAAACCAATGTGTTCCCTGCATGACTGTTGCATGTGTTTTATGTTATCAGGTGTTAAATATGTTCTTCAATGTGCTCACTATTGCATTAGGAATTGATAAGCAACCATGGTGTGGATAGAGCAATAGTCTGTCTGGTTGTGTCTTTATGCATCACCAGACTAGTCTTAAGAATGACATAAAATGTGGTATAAAATAATATACATGCGACTTTAAACAGACAAAGAGGTTGGTATAACAAGTAGCCTTGGTAGCCATACAAATGGCCAGCAAGGTGCTTTGTCTTGCATCCTTTTTATACCAGTAACACCTCAAGGTGAAACCCACTCATTGCTGCACAGAAGTGGTACAGCTTATTTGGCTCTTTTGCACGTTTTTGTGCATGCTACACAGGCAAAGCCTTTTGTTGCCCCTACAGGATGCCCCTGTCTTGAGAGAGATTTCTGGAAAAACTATTCTGACAAATCTTTCCTGACATGGATTTGTCTCTACATTTTTTTATCAGAGCAAACTTTCACGTGAACATTTTTATGACAGAGTAAGCATGATTTTCCCATTTACTTTGAATCCATTAATGACAGGTTGAAAATGAAAAATGCCTTCCTATACCAAGAAGGTGCATATCAGGGACAGGCACTGCAATGAATATGCTGACTTCAAAGACAATTAAATTCACCTTAGTGTATCTTTCCCCCATAGCCAAACCCACAGGTGCCAACCCCATCAGTCATTGCCTCACTCACCTTCCTGACATATCTTTAAAACTAGAAAAAAGAGCTGATCAGCTCCTCTCCATTTCAGTTTTGTGCTTCCCAGCCTGAAGATCTTTTTATTTCCTAGCTTCTGGCATTATGCCTTCCAGTCTCTGGTCAGATTCAGCAGTGGCAGCTGCTAGCAGAAAATCCTCCTATTCAAGAGATGACCTTATGTGCTCCAAACAGGGCTTTCTCATTCTGACTAAGTCACTTCTCCGTGTTCAACATGCCTGCATTAACTCCATGATGCAGATAGATAGGCTGCAAGTGCTCTGGAGCAAAAGGTATTATTTAAAAGGTAAGAGATTTTGCATTTTAAATTTGGAGTGATGGTGAGACAGTCTTTTTCACTAAAATAAATCAACAGAATTTCACACATAGCATCCAGATTTTATTTTTAAATCAATGCCACTGTATCATCCTGATTTCCTTCTGAAAGATCCACTGTAAAATCCTGTAATGTCTTGTGAATAATGTTAGTTATTCACTCCCATGCAAATCTCTTATTTTCCAATGCAAATATTGCATAAGGGTAGCACAGTACTCTTAAACATGAACAAGACATAAACCAATTTCATTCAGATTATGATTGTGTCATAAATAAGGCTCTGTATCCACTCAGTTCAAATCGGCCTCCTTAAGCAGGCTTGCACTTGTTAAATCCTGTCTGTGACCTCAGGCAGCCTGTTCTAAATGCAAGACTCTTATATGTGTGAAGAGAGGAGCTTGGAAAATAACACTGAACTGAGTTAAGGGAAAATCTATTTGGATTCTTTACATCTATGACTGGACTGACTTTGTAAATAGCACACACTTACATATGTTTTAAGAAATGTTGGGTTTGCATATGGAAAAGACAATCACAAGAATATGAAAAACTCATTCAGGTTTGGGTGACCCACAGCCACAAAAAAACCCCTGAGTGCTTGTCTCTGATATTTTACCGAAAATATAGTCAGTGCATGCCTACTAAATTTACTACATTTCCTCCATCCCTTTTTTCCCCCTACACTATTCTTTTTTGTTTTCTGCTCATCATGTTAATTTGAGTACTGAGTAGGTTTGACGTATGCAATTCACCGTGTGCACTGAGTATGTCTGAAATTACTACTATTACTGAGGGACAAGCCAGGAACTTCAGGAATTTTCCAGCAGCACAAAGTAAAGTAAAGCAGCAAAGTAAAAAAAGGTTGCATACAGGAAAGTTACTGTTTTCAAACAAATGTTTTGTGATACTTTTCCTCCCTAAAGCATACTTGTCAGGCAACAGTTTTCTAGATGTTAACCTGGGTTTAATCCTGTTTGAAATGGTTTCATTCTGTTAGGCATTTAATTTTAAAGCATAGGGCTTTTTCCTACTTTAGGCTTGGCTTAGGGGCCCCAATAAGGTGCCATAGCTAGAAATTTCTTTTGGTTGTGCGGATACAATGAAGGGACTTGACTCATGCTCACACAGGACTCTGACTCAGGAGCTAGAATGGCTTTTGTTTGTGCGGCTGTAATATTCCCTGCTCATAAGCATCTATTTTGGTCTAGCTTTCTCCCCTCTTTTGAGTTTTACTCACTCTACTGCAAGATGGGCTAGGCTCTTTGGGAAGCAGCCATAATAACCCAAAAGATTTTAGGCTTGTCAAAATAAACCAGCACTGATATGTGCTTCTTTAATTCATGGCCATTAACAGCTTCATTCATGACTTAGTCATCCTGCAGTAAAGGTGGGGATGGAGAACTGCACCTGGGAATGCTCTCTCTTGCCCAGTGTTGGTCACATTTAAGTGACCATTTTAAGACATTAGCTTGTGGACATGCACCCTCTTCAAGGGTTGTATGGTATCTGAAATTACTACCGTCTGTAGATGGCTAATACAACCATGATTGTTGTGTTGTGTTAACCAAGCCAGTTTTACCCCAGAAAGATTAAAAGAGGTAATAGGGGGAAAGAGGGAGGTGTCTGTCCTGAGAGGATACTGAGAATGTAGAATATTAAAACATTATCAGAGTATGCTGCTGTTTCCAAATAGACCCTTATAAACAGTGTCAGGACCTGTGTTCAGCCAGAAAATCCCCTCCCAGCTGGGAGCCAGGTGGATCAAACACCAGTCAATGTGTTACAATGTTGGTCCAAAATCTGACAGTTTATGTTCAGCTGTACTGAAAGTTTATGCTGAGCTCCCTGACTGTGCCATAGGGTGGCTGAGGATCACTCCCTGTGTGAATGGCTGTTTGCCTGAGGCAGCTGGAACCTTGGTCAGGGAGAAAAGGAGGGGTAGAGAACAGATAGCTCCAGGTGACAATCTCTTTAGATGCTAGGATTCACTTGTCATCTTTATAAATTTTCAATAGCAAGAGCAGGATCAAAAGGACATCATGTTACTGTGTAGGGGTCCTAACTCACACTGCACAGTTAGTGTGGAAGATCCACCCTCTGCTTTCAATGGAGAATGGAACTTGTATCTAGGACATAGTTTTACAGCTGAAAATAAACCAGTTTGAATTATCTTTGCCTAAAGGCTGAGACCCACTGAAAAACTGAGATTTTTTTTTCTGAATTTAGTAAGTATACCTTTTGGTTCTAAGTGTAACTTCAGACAAGTCAAAATGGATTTCTGCAGTCTAGAATTAAGAGTAAATTGGCAAGTCAGGTAATACTTCTTATTGGAAAAGATTATATATGAACAGGATGGAATAATTGACAGGGAAGATGAACTAGATGACAGCCTCTAGAAAATGTTAATGATAATTTTGTTCTGGGTCTTATTTTTCATTGATTTACTAAGAAATAGACTTTTTACAGGACTGTTCTTCTTATGAGAACATTGCAGCCTTCTCAGGAAGAGTCTGTAGAGCTACTGGCCCTGAAAGAAACAGTGGAGGCAAGAAAATAAATGTGATCACTGTCTGAAGGCGAGTCTTTTGTGCAGGTCCCCACACACACCACTTGCCAATTAACACCCAAGACCAAGCCTCAGGCTCTATAATGCTAACTTAATCCTTAGAAAAGAGTTAAGAAAAAGGCTCTTTTTTTCATGAACAACAGCAATCCAACTTCATAAGGGTGCCTTAAAGTAGAGTGACACCAGTAAACCTGTGTTGATTCACGCTGGAACAGTTCAGTATGTAGTGCCCCCAGGATCTGCTGCACCTCTCTGTGGACATCACCATGCCCAAAGCAAAACCAGTGTGTTTGCTCCCTGGCCAAGTCCAGCACTTTAGGTTTAACTGGGATTGATGGCCATTTGAGCCAGTCTGCCAAGCTTGAGGCAGAGGCAGCTGAAGAGCAGACCCAGTGGCTGTTCTCTCAAGTTTACAAAGGGGTTTTCCAGTTTCTTCCAGAAGAGAAAAGCAGCCAGCAGGAGCTAAAAAATATTCTAGATTGTCCCAGCTGTGCTTTTTTTAAAGTACAGCTTTTCTGTTGTTTGATGCTATTCTGCATTTTCAGCTGCCACCCCTTACCTTTCCCAAGTGATCCTGTGTAATCTCTGTTGCTGCTGTCGCTGGTGGTGCAGCCATACCCAAGGCAGAAGGTGGGGCTGTATTGTAAATGCACAACAAGCCCTGTGGCAGGGAAGAACAATGTATCTGACTCCATGTTATCAGAAGGCTAATTTATTACTTTATTATACTATATTATATTACAGAGTACTATACTATACTAAAGAATACAGAAAAGATACTTACTGAATGCTAAAAAGATAATAATGAAAACTTGTGACTCTTTCCAAAGTCCCGACACAGCTTGGCCCTAATTGGTCAATGAATCAAAACAACTCACACTGGAGTCCAATCGGGCAATCACCTTGGGTAAACAATCTCTAAACACATTCCACATGAGCACAACACAGGAGAAGCAAATGAGAAAAGAATTGTTTTCCTTTTCTCTGAGGCCTCTCACTGCCTTTCAGCTTCCCAGGAGAAAAACCCTGGGCGAAGGAATCATGTTCAGAGAATGGGAATGCTGCAGGTCTGCTGCTCTGCTCCCAGTGTCACCACAGCAGAGAGAAGCTGTGCATCTGAGACTCAGCAGAAGGTATCCTAATATCTTCTTCCCTGGGAGTTGGGGAAGTGCTAGCTGAAGTACAAGCCTTATGCCCATTACACAGTGTGTTTTGACTGAGAAGCACTGGGAAAACACTAGATTTTGGTAGGCCATCTGTAATTACTGTGTTGCCTAGATAGTGGCCACCCCTGAGCTGGTGTATTTAACATATTTCAGGAGTTTTGTTCCTTCTTCAAGTTGAAGATTGAGTGCTCTCACCCAGTTCCCTGGATAGGAACATCACATATTTTCTTCTCTTCACATTTAGGAAAGGGGAAAGTTTTTAGCCAGATATTGCTTAACAGGAATCAGAAACCTTCTCTAAAACTTTCAAGTAGGTTTCAATTAATGAATTCATTTCAATTCAGTTCAATGGATTGGCAGCCTAGGAAGACAAGACACAAGACTCTTCTTGCAAATGTTCTATTACCTGCTGGAGAAAGGCTCACTGATGCATCAATACTCAATTCCTCACATGATTACAGAAAGTCCTGTTACCACATCAAAGGGATAAGGTATCAGAACAGTTCAATTCAGTTTGAAAAGTCTGGCCACTGATGGAGTTAGTTCTTCTACTCATCCATGGCCTGTCCCTGCTGTCCCTGTCATGCTGGCACATAAGGTGACATGGATCAGTTTTCTCATATCACTAAATGCTGATTTTACCAAACATAAAGTTTCTGTTTCACAGAGATGTGAAAGCATTGTCAGAACAAAATCACCACTTAAGCAGTGCAGTCTTAGATCACTTCCCCTACACAATGCCTGATTAGTGATTATTCCATGTTCAAAGAAATCTGATTTGCCTGTGGCTAAGTTCTTGCCTTTCTCGGTTCTTTTCAACACTTTTAAAGAAAAGATTTTGTGTAGTCAATTTGCTTTTTATAACTCCTATAATTTATAATATAACAGTTATAGAACTTACACAGTTTTCCAAAAGTTGGTAGAATTCTAAATATTCTAAGTTTTGGCGTATTTATTATGTTTTCCCATATTTTCCCAACAATTTTTATTATAGTTTTCCAAATACTGTACTTTCTGTGAAGGAGGTGTGATTTAAGTCAGATGGGCCCATAATACTTATTTTTGGACTGCACAGCAAAAGCAAAATGGCATTCAGGCAGAATCTTATGCACATGTACTGGCATTATGCTAATTGTCAGAAATTAGCTTATTCAATTAACAATTAAACTACACTCAGATCTGAGTGTTAAACTATGCTCAAATCAATATTGAGCTTCTAATTATACTGGTAATTCCTCTGTGTAGCATATCTGTTGCCAGGAGAGTATTCTTTAGCATTGGCAGATCAGAATTTCATGATAATAATAGCCAAGTTAGGAGTCAGGCTTTTTGTTTTGGCTCTGAATAACTGTAATAAAGTTTAAAAACTTGTGAATTATTAAAAACAATGTTTTATCCATCTTGCACCAAGTTCTCTATCCTGGAAATCAGTGTGCTCACGTGTTGTAGCAGCTATTGACATAGGTTTTCTCTTGCCTAAGATGATGCTGAATTTTTCATTGGTAAATCACAATGTGCCTGGATCACTGATGGTATAATGGAGAATTACATTTCAAAATTACTTTAAAATCATTAATTTCCTTTACCCTTTCAATCATTTAATAACTAAGCAGTTAAGTCTTCAAGTGACCATTTGTATTTCATTGTCCTTCCTTTTCTATACTAGGTAAGAAATAATTAGAAATCTATCTTCTTTGTGGATCCTTTAATTTTAAAATAATACCTATTATTATGTGTGTAATCAGAAGTAGAGTGGTATAATTTTAAATATCTCAAGTTAAAATGAAATTCTATCTTATAGCTAAGATAAACTAGTAAAAGGAAAATATTTTTTTAAAAGATTTCCTTAAAATTACTCTAAAATTAAAAACCTATATTAATTTGGCCAGTATTTTATTCTGTATCTTGTATTAGAAATTTATCTTTATAGTCTTAGGTTATTTTTGTTTTATTGACAGAAATGCTACAATAAAATGTAGAAAACAACTCGTAACTTTATTTGTGTGTCTCATAAATATATTCCAATATATAACATGAATAAAAATCTTTTTGACTGGGAAATCTAGCAGTAGTTTTAATTTCACATTTATGGAATGGAAACATTTTCTTGAAAACATATTCTAGTTTCAAAACGAATGCAGGATGATTTTTTGTATAATTAGCACACAAACTTGCAAAGGTTCAGATAAAATTATAATTCAGTCAAGATGAAAAACTACATAAAATGCACAAAAAGGGGCTCACAGTTAGAGACTGGAAGGTAGTTATGCACAACAGTGGGAATACATAATTCAGAATGTCACTCAGCACTTCACTTGGGAATAATATTAGTTGTACACTGATTCTCCTGTTTGGCAACTCAGAACATACTTTGGCTCAAAACAGGAAAATAAAAGGTACTTCACATAGTTCACATGCTTCACATTCAGTGATGGTGCATAATGGAACATTTTCTGGCTGGTTTAAGAGACATCCTTATCAAATTAAATAAGGTTGCTGCCTTTCATCTATTTATGATTCAAAAACATAGTTCACCTAGGTACTAAATTCAGTGCAGATTTCCTAAAGTCCTCAACATATCTGCCCTAATGTTTTAGCTCACTAGGTAATGCAGCTTAACATGGCCTGGTTTGAAACACAAGAAAAAAACTAAAAAGCAGGGGGGAAAAAAAGAGGAAGAAAAAAACTAAACAAATTTATCATAGAGATTTTAAATCTTTTCAGGAGTCAAAAAACCCCATGCAGTTAAACTATTCTTACCTTGGACTTTCTTTCAGATATTTCTTTAAGGCTTTCAGAGAAGGACTGTTGAGAAGGAGAAAGTAGCACAGGGTAAAATAGCAGGAAAATATAGCAGAAAGGACAGTATAAGTGGTTATAGAAAACTGGCAGATAGTGACAGAATAGTCAATAGACAAGAACAAATGTCAGCATAAAAGAAATCAGTATGAAGGCCCTGAAGCATGGAGAAAACTGTCTGCACACTAAACAAAACTGTTTACTTAGTTTTGATTTATAGACATTGCAGCATGAAATTCAGTTGGTGCATGAGACATTTCTCTTCAATCCAGACCTTGCTAGTAAATGAAAATATCTGATTTTCAAGCAACCCTTCAGAGAGAGAGTATTAGGTAACATATGATTGATGAGTATCTATAGTGTTATTAAAATTAATCTAATCTAGTATACTCCCTAAGTCTAATAGTCATTGAGTCCATTGTTTGCACTTTAAAAAGCTGGGGGAAAAACCTGAATGGACAAAACCACATTTTTAAAGGCAAATTAAAACATTAATACATTTAAAATTTTGTGCTCTGTGTTTTGCCTCATGTTTTCAAGTAGCAGCATGGTTACTGCTCTTTGGATGGTTGGTGAGGTGTATGACCACAAGCCTTTCTGGATGTTATGAGACATTGAAAATGCCTTGAATCCTAACTTGTATCATCCAGCACTAACATTTCAGAGCTCTCTAGTTTCTTGCAACCATTCCACATTAGATTGCACTGCAGCCACTGACATTGTTGTTCAAGGAGCAGTTCTGGCCAGAGCTTGTCCTTCCTCAGTTTGTTTTTTGTGTCTTTTATCCATAAGTACCCACAGGTTTGTGGGGGTTTGTGTTACCCAGACTGACTGCCCAGGAGAAGTTGTCATTTTATAGACAGAAGTTGCATTGTGCATATGAGAACAAGGTAAAATTTAATAAATTAGCAAAGTAATGTGAACACATGCAGTTAATGGCTGAGGGAGGGATTGTGCAGAAGCCCCTGTCTCCATTTTTGCACATCCCTGAAGAGATGAGAATACAGAGAGTGCCAGTGCATGTTTTGGACATTTAACATGTAGGACATACTTCAAAGACCCTTCAGAAAAATATGAAACAAATTCCATCATATAGAAAGTGCCTTTTCAGCTGCCTGTCTGATGCGGTCAGGCCCCCTGGGACCTGGGGAGATGTTCACTGCAGAACACATGGACTTCAATATATTTTACTTTGCAGCTGCTTACCATCACCTCTCTCTGAGATGCCATTTCTATGGCAGAACCAACCATGTGAGTATTCCTCTTTCACTGCAGTGCAAAGCCACTTAAACTAATTTAATCCAGCTTTTCACTGGAGCAAATGAAGTGTCTTTATGTAGTCAGTTCTAACATAGCGCTACACCAACCTCCAATAAGACTTTTAAACTACTGAAAGTCACAACTTTTTAAATCAGTCCATTGAAATTCTGTTCTGGTTCCCCAGTCTACAGATGATCACTTACTGCAGGTCACTGCAGAAGTCTAAAACCAGCAATGTTTTAGACTGTCTTAGCAATGGCTAAATGTAGGGAATTTACCTTTTTAGCAATTCCACCTTTATTCTTAGTAGTACCTGAGACAGCATTTGGAAGCCACCTTGACTTTTATTTAGGTGGCTCCTAAAGCCATATTATCTCATTTGGCCAGCTCTTTGATTTATTGGTTTGTTTTCAATACTGATTATAGGAGGCAGTAGGCCTTGGTGTCACTCCTTTGCATGTGGCAAAGGAGTTGCCTGATTGGGGATACAAGAAACAGGAGTGTTTAGAAAATAAAGAAAAAAAATGAGAGGACCAGCATA